AGGAGGCTCTCAAGACTTCTGGTCCTCAAGTCTCAGCACTGACTCCTTCAGCTCTTGAGAAGCTTAAGGATGGTTAATAAAATAAGCTCTCTCCCCAAAACAAAGCCTGTCGTACAGGTACAAAAAAGGGAAAATTTTAAAATGAACAGCAAATGCAGGCAGAGGTGGAAGCATCTGGAAGTGTGAGATTTGATGGCAATCCTGAGAGATTTCAGAGTGAAAATACTCTCAGGAGTTTACAAGAACTGTTCACCTAAGATACTTGTTTAAAACTAAATCCTGAGATTTACCTAAAATCCCACTCCACACAATTTCAAAGGGCATTCTGTGGAGGAATTTTGGAGAATGTATTTTCATTACCTCCATTTCCAGCAGTTACAGGAACTACAAGACTTGTGTAGAAGAAACAGACAAGGGAGGAGGTAAAGCAGGAATACTACAGTCTCAGGGACCTGGTATGGTCTGGGTACACAAAATCTCTTTTTTTTTTTTCAGTGCTGTGGTGCCTCACTCTTGCTAGTGACCACTCTGTACTTGAGCCATGCCCTCAGTCCTTTATTACTTTAGTTATTTCTCTGACAGGGTCTTCTGCTCTTTTCCAGGGAAGTTCTCTCACACTGAAATCCTCCTACTATGTCTCCAGTGTGCCTGGATATGAACCTCCACATCCAATTTGTTTGTTGAGATGATAGCTAATATTTCGCCAAGCTTGGCCTTGAACTATGACTCTCTTATGTTCCACCTTTTGAGTAGCAGATGGGATTACAAGTGTCAGCTATCATCACCAGCCCTGGAGGTTGACTTTTGAGCTGAGAGAAGAGTGATTAAGAACTTCCTTTATTTGCAAGTTACCATGCAAGTTAGATCAGTGGGTTTCTAGTTTCCTCCTGGAGTTTGGTATTAATGTAGTTAATGAATATAAGCAGTTAAATAAGTTTATCAAAATTATTTAGACTAATAGTCACTGAAGTCATGGTGGCCAAATATAACATGCACCCTTCTAACAGCAAACAACTCGACATTGTGTCCACTCATTGATAAGCCAAAGGGTGACACTAGGTGTGAACACAGATCACAGGTATTCACAGGGCTCGTGAATGTGGCTAGCTGAGCTCCTCATGAGCTCCCTTCAAGAGAACCCTGCATTATAACCAACTTTTAGGCTGTTGTTAAAGGTCCTTTGAGTCACGCACCCCTCCATTTCTCTGTATTAGTCTTGACAACCAAACATGTATTTTATGGGGCTCTCAACACTCATTTAACTAGGGACAGAGACAGGCAGGCACACACACACACACACACACACACACACACACACACACACACACTCTTTGAAGGTCCCTTTGCATCTCCCTCAGCTGTTGTCCATTTGCAATTTGGTCAATGAACAGAAAATTTCCCATTCCTATTTATTTTCTTTGTGCCCCAAATTCTCTTAAGGATCGTGTCTTTTTTTTTTTTGCACAAGCTTCCCTGGAAGTATCCTCTGGAGATTCTGACTTATCGAACACACACACAATTAGGTCTCTGGTGATGAGCTCCGGAAGTGCAGGGTTTAAAAAATACTCTGAGAAAAGTTTAATATTGAAGATTTAAAGATTTGTTTTAGTGTTTGCACTGCCTGAAAAATGTACTTAGGTGGAACAAGTGTTTCACTGAGCTCACCAAATTTATAAAGAGCTATTGCACTCAAAAGAAAGAATGAAAGAACCCTTATTAGGGTTTCTTAGCATCCCTGGACAAACAGGCATGTTTAGGTATCAATCATTTCTGACTTTTTTATAATGGTAGGTGAAATGAGTAAGAGACAGATGGCTCCAAGAGGGGTGCTTTTTGGGAACTGTGTGTTGTACTTGAAGGAACAGGTGCAGAGAGGTGTAGGGCAGCTGGTACGATTTCCTCAGAGCAGATCCAGCCAGTGTGTACACATGCTAATATGTTAATTAGCATGCTTATCACTCACTGACCCATTACCTCGTGTAAAATAGAAGTGTACTGTGAACTATATGCATGTACCAAACTTCAATTTGCATTCCACACTCAAAACTGCTATACAAAAGCGAGACAAAGCAGGCAAAAGAATTTACAGTGACTTTAGCAAACAACCTATGCCACTTGAAAAGAGCTCTGAGTTTGCAACAGCTGTTACGGATGTAACGGGAGAGTTGGGGTCCACAGTTTTAGGGTCTTGAAGATAAAATTCCAATGTTAGTTGATAATATCTAGAAAATTCTGCAGCTGTCTTGGGTACAAAATGAAATGAGAAGCCTCGGAACTCTGCTGCACACTGGGATCCCAAGTTTGAGTGGGCTCTGTTTTCCTTTTGAGGAAGCGTGAAATTATTTTTACTTAAACGTGCTGGTGTAGCAAAAACCTAGGATTACCATTAATGTTGTGATGTGATGGTGATGACTAAGATCAAATGTTGATGAAGTATATTAGCTAAATATTAAAAGATAATATCTCAGGGCTTCTTTCTGGTTGTTTAATATTCTAGTCCTAACGTATCAGCACAATTTAAAACATGATTTCCACCTGGACTCTGTTTGTTTTTACTACAAAGTCCTAGTGGCACACGAAAAGTTTCTGAGAACAGAGTTGTAATGCAAAAGTAGCATTGCATTTGTGAAACATAATTTTCATTTTGTTTCTTGCCCCCAAATAAACATCTGAGTCATGGAAAACACTGTTTATTTGAAAACTATGAGACATCAAATATGAAATATAGCTAACATTGACATTGTTGCTAGCACTTTCCCTTAAACCACCCACAAGTCTTGGACACGTGTGCATGCACACAGAAGAACTGATTGTTCAAGGACTCCTGATGCCTGGAGGACAGTCTGTTACAAGAATTTGTCTCCCACAACAGCTCTGGAGTGGACAAAAGTCTCATTCCCTGTTATTGATCACAGACAGCCAGCCTGTCCTCCTGGTGATCAGAGGCAACAATTCATACCCTGGGCTTCTCAGAATCCGTGTCCTGGTGGTGAATCTTGACTTTGAGACAAGGCTACCTGGCTAAATTGAAGCAGGCCAGCAGTCCCATGTGCTCGTTCCCATTTTATAGAAAGTCTAATTAAAAATTATACATGTGTGCAACTATTTATATATATATATAATTTAACAGATAATCTCTTAACATTTTCTCATTTAGCCAGCTGAGAGGCAGCTGTGGTATAGACACATGGCTTGGATTTGAGTCCCTGTCAGGTCTGTGCCTCGAGAGCCCAGTGGGGATTGGCAAGTCTTTTCTTCTCTTCAAACCTTCACCTCTTCATCTGAGGAAGGACAAAATAGACCCATGATGATAAACCTTTTGCACCTCTGTATTCCTAGGCTTGACAACTGTTGCCCAAGCAAAACATGTAGCTACCAAATACAGCATCTCTTAAGTTGAATGCTTAATGACTTTGCTTATTGTGTTACCACATTTTCTGGCTTCCTCCATGGTTTTCGAGTTCCTGGGTTTGAAAAGGTCTTGGAGGCCAGGCAGACTAATTTTGTTCTGATGAGAAAAGCTCCATTCAAGCAGAGGTATTTTTTTCTGCTTAAAAAGCTCTAAGGAAACAGGTCTTCCTCTCTCTGTTGACTGTCATTTAAATATAGACCAGAGACTCTTTCCTCAACAATTGACTGCATTTCTTTGTTAAAAAAGTATTTACTCCCTTTGCTTGGAGAACTCAAAGGAATGTTGACCACGAAAGCCTAAAAAGCAATGGTATCTCATCTCTTATTCCTTGGACTATTGCAAATGATGACAAACCCTGATGTTCCCAGACCCAACCTCCAGGATAATCATTCACAGTCTGGGAAATTCTTCCCTTCTAGCAGATAAAGACAGTAATAACACAGACCAGACTGAGGACTTCTCTACAAGGTCCAGTTCCTCTACAGGAAGAATGTAGAGGCAGGAGAGAAGGGTCCTGGGACCTAGGATCCTGGGAGTCACCTGTATGGCCACATTGCCTGAATCTCATTTTTCACTGGAAGTTAGAAAAGGTTTTGAGGATTTTACTCTAAGTCAGCTCTGATCTGCAGACAGTATGATTGTAGGCCTTGTAATCAACAAGACAGGTGGGGCAGCACTCACTGGAATGTACTTGTGAAGGGAGCATAAAGTAAAATAAAGTCAGTCATTTTATTGGCTCTTAGCCTTACATGGCTCTTGGAGATTGTCTGTTTTCATAATACATTTTATAAATAAGGAAGGAGAGATGCAGAATTAAGCAAATTTCCCAAGGTATTCAGATCAGAGTTTTCATGCTGCAACAAGTTAGAAGTCGGGTTGGGGAGGAATTGCCTTTTGAATACCAGGTAACCAGAAAATGTAAATTTTTGTCCCTCTAAATTCCCCAAGGTTTCTGGTAATTAATGAAGTGTCTAGACCTGTGGTCCTACACGAATGGTCCATGCAGATAGAGAACAGGGCACCCCTAGGAGCAGGGGCTCTGTGCCCAGCACTCTGCAGACAACTGAGAGGCTGGCAAACTTACCTATGATCTCAAAATCAGAGCTCCATTTTCCTGTTCCTGTAGGCAGAGGGTTGACACAGACAGATGTCTGTCCTGACACCAACTCTCTCAAATAGTCTTAGGATAACCACCTTCCCCAGTCCAGCTGTAATACCTACCTAGTTATCCCACTCTGATACAGATACAGATTAAAATGTAGGTGATTTTCCTCTTGCAAAAGAAAAAGGGAGCATTAGAGGGCTACAAATCCAGACAGAAAGGGAATATAATTTTAACAAAACACGTGCAAACAGAAAAGCTGCACGTGTGGTTTGCAGGCTGAGGAAAGAGGGGGTGTGCTGAATTCAGAACATTTGAGTTTGATTCTCCACATGCATTTTTCTTTTCTTGGATTCTTCTCTCCCTCTGTCAGGATAACTGTTGTGTTTCTTGTATCTGAGCCGACACAGAAAATCGAATACTTTGTGTTTCTATACACTATACTTCTGAGAGAGATAACACACCTAGAATTAAAACACTACCACAAACTATTAGAAATTTCTGATTGTTACAGGTGTCATGAAAGGGTTCCGGTAGCCATGATCGAAGTCTCTAAATTTGGCCTTTGGAGAAGGGAGTTTTGTTTTCAGACATCAAAGGTAAGGCTCTCAAGTCAATTTATGCTCTGCTGGGTTGAGTCAGTCAAGATACAAATTAAGGTCCATATATTTCAGTGACAAGAAGAAATGGTTATGTAAATACACAAGTATTAACATCAATCTGTATTAAATTATGTAAACATATACATCTTCTGAGGTCAGCACAAAGATCCTCTTCTCCAAGCAGGGCTCTACTGGAGCATTGCTCGAATCTGTTTGGAAGTTGACTCATCGTTCAAGTGCTTTGTAGTGAACCTGAATGGAGAGAGAGTGATGGAGGTCAGTGTGCAAATGGAGCTCTATGAACATTTCTGTGCTGACTTGGCACCCATCTTTATCTTGAGAAACGCAACTGATATTTCTACATCAAACACATGGGCTTGCTTCTTTAGACACAGTCACACTTCAGTGTTGCCTGGATTTTCAAACAGATTCAATATTTGATTCTGTCTTCCAAAGGAATTTTGCATAATGGTTATTAAACTACATTGATTGTTTTCCTATCCAATCAAATAATTACACAGAGGAGATATAACCAATCACATTTGTTAGGGAGACTTCACAGGACCGGGTACAGAATCATGACATTGAAGCTATCCCTGCTGAGTCACAAGCTTCAAAATATAAATCTCCCCAAACTTGAACGTTTGTGGTTCTCTACTTTTGTGACCCTGCTTATCCTCATTGCCACCACAAGGGGGCACAAATGCAGGTGAACAACAAAACAACGCCCCCATCCCACTCCCCCCCCGCCCGATTCTCCCCCCAAAACTTGGTGAAATCTGCAGCCTCCTATTAACATGATGTAGAATTGTTTATGCAAATAATAACACATAGTGAAACCTTGACCATGTGCTGGGTGCTCCATGGAGTTTCTATTTTAGTCACAAAAACTGTGGGTAAGAACATGCCTCACTTTGCCAGATTAGAAAATTGAGTTGCAGAGAGGTTAAAGGGCCTACTCCACATCACTAGGCTCTTAATTTTGATTTGCGAATGAGGTGTGACTTTTGACTTTAACCTAGGTGTGGCTGCTTTGAAAGCCTGCACTGTTTCCACTTCACAACATGTCTCCAGGAGATTCCAACACTTGATGGGGTTCATGGCCCAGCACAGTGACCCCATACCGAGGAAGCTTTGCTAGATTGAATTAAACTGGAAAGCTCAAGATGTTAAAGTCTTCTTCCTGTGTGTACAAAACTATCCTGGTATAAAATAGGGAAAACCTCGGGTTACCTAGAGACTTTGGAAGGCTCTGATGTTCAACGCTACATGTATTCTGAAGGATGAGGTCTTAGCAACTCAGTAAAACAGCATTAACCTCAGTGTCTAGACCGTTAATTTCATATACATCTCAGTTTGCTCACTTATTAAATGGGAATAATATGTCAGCCTTATGTTAAGTTGTAATGATTAAATGAGACACTGTGATTAGCACTTGAGTATGAAACCTGAGTGCTGCACATCGAAGAGCATTCATCCATTCCACTTTAACTTACTGAACACACTGCACGTATAAACACCGAATGGAACTGAGGGAAATTAAAGAATGAGACAGCAGGGATCATAAGCCTTCCGTATTGCAATCCATATTGGGAAGATTTATACAGTAATGCAATTCAACAAAGAATCACAGCTAAAAAATTAGAATTCCCTCTCTGAAGTGGATTAAGCACATGTGTACTTGGGAAGAGCAGATGTACTTGGGCATTGCTTGTTAGCAGTAAGGCACTGGAATGAGCCATGGCTACCTAAATACTTAAGCATCCAACAGTATATAGCAGGGTTCTCAATTCTGTTGACTTCACATGTGAACCACCTGGGAAGCTTTAGAGCAAGCAAACAAAAACCAAACACAAAATGGATGCCTGAACTCCTATCTTATCTGTAGAGAGGGAATGATTAAAGAACGGTGCTGATCTGAAGAGGTTGCTGGGAAGACAACATGTGGTGAAAAATGCAAGGGCCACGCTTGCTATTCTGGCCCTTGTCCCCCAGCAGCACCCACTTTTGCAAAGATCTGAAGGGGTGCTTGCCCTGTCAGTCTATCCCAGAGCCAGCTCACCTGAGGGCATTCAGCAGCCCCTCCACGCTGTCTGGGGCCTGTTCCTTCAATACCTTTATGCAGCCTTTCATCTAGGAGGAGAAAGCACAATGTTTGGTCAATTATCCTAGTAATTCTGTCCATGCTAGAGTCTGTCCATCACAAAAATGGCACATAGAAATCAAAGAGAAATGACCCACAGGTTTTCTTAGCCCCTTGGGTTGAGTTGCTCCTCTGGGCTTCTAGAATGCTCTGTAGGATTGCAAACCATGTTGATTTTAATACTATACTCTAATTGTACATTTTACTTACTTTGGGAGAGAAGCACTTGAGACTTTCCTTGTCTCGTACACTATAATCAAGTGCAGGATACAAATCTTTCTAATCAGTGTTCAGTTGAAATTTACTAAATGTTTTACAAACGTGGTAATTTTATGTCTCCTACCCACAATATAATCTCTCCTCCAGTTGTTTGACTAGAAAACCCTTAACACTTCCTTTTGGTCTTAGGAGAAGTTCACCAACCCCAGGAGGTCTCTTCTTACCTCACTATCCTCACTAGGTAGAGAGTAACCACCACCTATTTGTGCTCCCAATCCAACTCTGCATTTATCAGAGAACCTTGGAGAGTTTAGTACACAAATCAATTTGTCTCCCTAACTAGACCAGGAGCTTCTGGAGGTTAAAGTCTGTGTCTTAAACATCTTTGAGAAGGCTGGGAAAGGGCACTTTAAGAATGTGAACCTTATGGAAGCTAATTGCTTGCGTTTTATCCATGCTTGCATGAACTTAGGCAAATTTCTTAGTTTTTTTTTGTGCCCTTGGAATAAAAGTTATTTATAATCTGCCCAGTGGATGAAAATAAATTTATAGAGATCACATTATATTACATGTATCCTGTAGTTGCTTTTTTTTTTTTTTTTGGCAAATCAAGGATTTTTCTGCAAACAAGACAATCACTCATTTTAAACTCAGATATTCACACATTATATGTGCATCCACTGGATTATGGTGTCACTTATAAACATTTTCTGTGGGCACACTTCTGGTATGTCAAAAGTCTAGTCGTAATAAAGGCTTAATAGAGCCTATAAATTGCAGGCAGTGTTGAGAATAACTTTTGGGTCACATATAGCCTCATCAGGAGTGAATGGCATGGTCATTTAGAGATGTTTGTTGTGGGCACTGGACTGGCATACCAAGTCCGTACCACTCTGGTCTGGGATGGCATCAGCCCAGCCAGGGACACAGAGCTTTGGTCTTTTTTCTATTAGGGCTGATAGTCTAGTGGGAGGAGAGAAACAAATACCCCATTATCATGGTATGATAAGTGTTCTTGTAATACATCCCAGGGGGTAGTGAGAACATAGATGTAGGAAGAGGTGGAAGAGCTGTGGGTATTCTTGAGGAATTTCTAGTTCTATTTCAGGATGATTAAGGCTGTGGGTGTGAGTAACAAGATGCTGTCAGAGGTGCCATCAGAACCCAGTGTGGGTTCAACAGCAGATTAGGAACGTGGGGCCTTTTATTTGTAGGAAATACCCTTGATGGTTGTCAAACATTCTAGAAATGTGGTGAGTATGGAAAGGGACCAGATAGAAGCAACAATGAAAGAGGAGATCCAGCGAGAGCCCTTCAGGTATGAGGGGTGAGAGAAGCAGTGGGACTGAAGCCCAAGAGGCAGCAGGAGGGTTAATCTGACTGATAAAATATGAGGGGGAAGAAAACAATCCCTGGGATCTGGGGGATGGCAGTTCTAGGCTTCTGATTTACATACTGGGTAGGAAAATGAGAAAATACCTAAGAGAGAATTTGGAAGGGGGGACAGGTTTGCGGGAAAAGAAGAATCTTTGGTTTGGGGCTGGCCATGTTTCAGGAGTCTGCAGGTAGTGGGATCAGTAATTATGAGTGAAATCTGACATTGGGACAGGGATTAAAGAATGATTCCTTATGGATATTTCTTAAGATTTTAAGGAAATCATTTGAAAACACCACCTCACCTCACTCACCTTCCTTAGCACCCAAGATTAGTATCTATTCTCTAAATGGCTTTTCCCCTTGTGGTCCTGGTGATTTTTCTCTGATGACTGATAACCTCTGCTTGGAGTACTCTTCTTTTCCTACAGCTTCTTCAAGGTCCACCTCAAATATCACTCTATGTCTTTTCCCATAGGCAGGGTTTTTCCTCACCTTCATGTACATTCTGTAAACCAGGTCACACCCTTTGTGCATACATATACAATACTACTTCCAGGGCTTTGTAAATCAATGCTTGTTTTTTACAAATCTAGTTCTATAGCTGCTGGCTTAGAAGCAGAGTGATGTCTGGAAGAAGACCCTTACATCATGACAGAAAATGATCCATCTCAAATATGTGTCCTGCTTGGTAAACCTGAGGCTTTCTTAGAGGCACATGCAGAGTTTAGTATGAACAAGTCTTTCTTAGTCTGCATAAACAAATATACTCATTAACATTCTATAATGCTTATGACCTCAACAGAGGTCATGGTAAATGACATGCAAAGTCAAGCTTTTCTAAGGTTAGGGGTTCAAGTAATAATTGTCCCAAGAGTATTTTTAATTGTTGACTCTGCAACAAGTTAACAAATGTCTATCATAAATGAAAATGTCTTAAGAGTACCAGGTAATAAACCCAGTTCATAGTTAAGTGATATTTATGGAGTCATTCATATGTATTTAACTCAACCTGTAGTATGAAAATGTTCAAGCCTCACAAAAAATAAAACATATTTATTAGTATGAATAAATGTCCATAATACACTGTTATACAAATGAAATACCTATTAAAGTGGCATGAATTGCAGGGTCCTAGTTTGCTAAGCACTTCCACACATATTTTCACATAGAAAGAAGGGATACACGCACACACGGCCATATTAACAGTGGTCATGTGTCTATGGTAAGATTATTACACATGCATGTAGTTTTGGTTTCCTACATTTCAAAAAAATTTGTAATAACTATTTTCTTGGCAAACAGATAGAATTACCATAAAATTATGAAGGATTTTATAAAGAACTTGGTCTAGCTCTGCTAGGAACCCAGAACTTCAAAATGAGTAATTCAACTTATATTTTCATTGGTAAGTTTCCTTGCATCTTTCAGGCATATGGCTCCTCTGGGCATGCAGACTTTTTTTGACACTTGTAGAATGTCAAAGACTGTTCTGTGCAGACACATGAACAGAACGCCACTCTGACTGAACCGTGTCAGAATAAGACAGGACCAAGAGGTTTGTTCCGTACTTAAAAGGCTTTTCATTAGTGCATGGGCTGCACTGGGTTGGTGCTGCAGGCAAATGCTGAGCTAAGAGGATGTGTGCTTTGTGCCACCATCGGCACCATGATCAATGCCAAATGACCACCCAGCTTCCTCTCCAACCCTTCTCTGTTTGCTGCCCTGCTGAGTCTCCTGCCTTTTCCTGTCACTTGGATATGCATTCCTGGACACTGCATGGCATTCTTACGTCAATCTTGGATGTCTTGCAGAAAGCCCCCACGGGGTGCACGTGGTCGTACAGGATGATAACCCCCACCATCACCCTCATGCAGAACATCAGCGTTTCTTCACTCGTAAACCGGCTTCTGTACTCCCTGGAAAAGAGAAGACGTGGCAGCGATGTCATTTCCTTGTTGGAACATATGAACTTTGGGTTCCACAACTGGCTACTCTTCTAATCCCCTCTGGAGAACAATCCCGGGCCTGCAAAAACTGGGTTAATATGCTCTTGAAGAGACCCATGATGATAATTCTCCTTGAATCTATCCAACCAGCAATTCAGTGAGAAAATAAGGTAAATTAGAGGGCAGTAAATTCCCTTCTGCCCTTCAGCGGCCAGCTCATCATGTACCTCACTCCCCACCCATCAATCTTGAATATTTTATAGCAGGTCCCTCTGGCTGTCCAAGATTAAAGAGAAAAACGACTTCATTACAGAGAAAAAGAATCAGGCTCATTTCTATAGAGCAGCTATCATATCTCCAGTCAGAGTAACTTCCTTTGTTAAGGCATCGTGTGCAGATGGAATTGGATTGGCACAGATACCTCAAAGAAATTATGTACGATTCATTGACCTGAGTGTATGTGTGAAGTTTGAATTTTTTTCACTTACCTTGATAAGGGCCCTTGGCAGATAATTGAGACCAATGAATTGGCCCTACAATGAAGATGATTACTATTCCTGTCTAAGAATAAATCTTAACTTTGGTATAAGTGAAACATTTGAAATTAATGACCTCTTACATTTGAGCAGAGCACCAAATTTTCTAAGGCATCCTTATACATTTGGCCTTCAGAAACACTCTGCAAAGTAGATGTCACTATGGGAACATCACTGGAGGAGGAAACCAAGGAAGGCCCAGGAGGTCAGGTCACTCATCTGTGGCACAGTAGGGGGTACAGACATAAGTAGACCCCAGACTTTTAAGTATAGATTTCTCCATAACTGTGCTGCTTCTTCCTTACTCTCCTCAAGTTACTTCCTTACTCTCCTTAAGTTACTAAGCTTAGCACTTAGTAACTATTTTACATATAAAGAAATTGCAGAGAAAGAGAGGGAGAGAGAGGTAGAGAGAGAGAGAGGAAGAGACAGAGAGAGAGAGAGAGATTATCATTTGTTCAACAGTCTTACAATTCTACTTTTGGTTCTAAATCTCAAATCTTCTATGCAATATGTTTATAGTAGTATTCAGTCATCTAATCCATCCTTCCATTTGTTCCTTACATATCTTTTATAGCATCTTTCATTATTGGTTCTGCCATCTAACAAGCTATGGAACCTTTGCGAAGTCAATGAAACAGTTTGGGCCTCAGTTACTTCAGCTATAGAATGGACATAATGACACAGGCCAGCCAAAGTTCTTTATGAAATTGAAGCAAATAACATACATGTAACTTTAATATGCTGACCTAAATGATACATGTTATCATCATCATCACCATCATCATCACCACCACCATCACCACCACCACCATGATCTTAACAGGCTCCACCTAGGTGAACTCTCAACCACGAATATACCCATGATTTCACTTACGGTGTTTCCAGCATGACTTTACAGACACTGGTCATCGTACTGAGGCAGTCTGTGGTGTTCTCTATTGGCAGTGTTTTGTTCTAAATGGGAGACACAAATGCATGTTAGCTCTATTAGCCGCTTTTATGCACAATTGAGTAAAAATGAAAAACACGTTGTTACTTAACATCACTTACTTCAGAGACAAAGTGCATTGTGGCATTGCTAAGGGTTTTCAGCATTGGTGTGGCTTCTGCATAGAAGAGGGACATTCGATTGGCCATCTCATTATTCACTTCATTCTCAATGTCTAGCTGTGAATTAAGAAGAGAAGATGCAATTATAAAGTTAAAACCCCCAAACTGTCCACTGGAAATTGAATTACAGACAAGGACTCTGTCTTCTCTCTGTGCCTTGCCCAATGAGGAAATGAAAGAACCCAAGTAGAAAGGGGCCAGGCCAGGGAGACCCAGGGACTTACGTGCATGTTATTGATACGGTTGCGACTTATTGTTCTTCTATAGTAGCTGAAGTCATTCTGAATCGCTGGGTTCCTCATCTGAAATTTAGAGGAGAGGAAAGAAGCCAATCTCTCAGAATCAGCTGAGGGATAAGCATTATAAGCCCAAGCACTAGATTTTGTGAATATGCCAGGACTTTTCTTTGTCATGCAAGAGTCAAGGCAATTTTGGTTAAAAATAAGGACTCATAACTTCATTATTCTAAAACATTCCTTGTTTTTACTGTGGGTTAGATTTTAGGAAAAATATATTTGTTCTCAAGGAACAGACACTTGAAAAGGTTTTCTCTCATTTCATTTGGCAGACTTTGAGTATCTATAGACAAGTCATCATCTCAAAATGCTTTTACCACATGGAATGCAAATACTCGCCATTTTCTGTCTCTCTTGGGAAGGAGCAACATCTTACTCTCTCCCCCCACCCTGCACTGGTAGGAGGAGCTTTAAACAGTGATGCTCAGTACAAGTTTGTGACCCTTTCATAGCTCGTTTGGCCTGACCTTCAGTTCATCGAATCGAAGGGTAAAATGCAAAATTTCTGCAAACTCCTTTGCCAGGGCCTGTTCCCGTTCCAGGTGCTGGGTTGGTGTATAGGGTGGGCAAGTCAGAGATTCCAATAAACTCTGAAGAGCTTTTTCTGAAAGTCAAAGGAATAGTATATATATTTCAGGTGTCCATGGAGATCCTTCAAAAAGCACAATGCTCAGTTCCATTTGACAATCACAGAGGCAACATGCAAAGGTCTTTCCTCTCGATGTGTTTCCTTCTTATTGTGGCCACACAGTTTTGTGCATGATGGTCACTCATAGTACATGATAAGATGAGGCAGCAGCTCTGAACACATCGGTTAGACTACCTTCTCTACAGGGAAGAATTCTGGTCCTTTTATAGCTTTTCTCTGCATCTACACTCTACCCTAATCCCAAGAGTGTCTTTCCATGAACCTATCATCATGTTTGCCTTTATCATTGTTCTTACAAGGATCTCATTTTTTCCCACTTGTCTGTTACTAAATATTCTCTACAGTTTTTGTTTCTATGTATTTATAACAGCTTAGTCATTTAACCAATCCTCTATTACAGGGGCTGATAAACCATGGTCTACAAGCTGAATCTGGCCCACTACTTGTTTTTATAACTCAAGTTTTATGAAAAGACAGGTATGTTCATTGCTTCCTGTATAGACTAGGGCTACTTTGCTGTTACAGTGGCAGAGTTTTAGTAGCTGTGAAAAATGACACAATAGCTCACAAGACTCAGCACTTACTATCTGGTACTTTATGAAAAAAATTGACAACATTGTCTCTATATTGTCCTTATGCCTTTTACAGCATCTTTACAAGGGATACCTCTATCTTTCATTAAACCTTCCCTTCTATAGGAGCACTTTGTCTTCAGAGGCAGCCAGCAGTACCATGATGTGCTGTGATTGCTGGACCTTTCTCATACTGTTGAGCTGAAACTGGGCCTTTTGGAATTGCAGCTCATTGGGTCCAGACATGTACTTTGAGAAACATGGGAGAGAATTTGTTTTCTCTTCTACCTGAGAGTCTAAGGAAGCCCTCTTTTCTTAGGAAACTGTTTTGGCTCATTCAAGTGCTCTCCTTGGTTTTAGCTTCTAGTCTTCTCAATATTACGGTCATTATTTGCCCAGAGTATTTCAATTTCTGTCTTCCTTGTAAAATGTGGCACTTGTTTTATGGCAAAAGCAGAGAATATATCTAAGCCTTTTTCATTCTAAATATACTATATTGAATAATGAAACCTTGCATAGCTTTCCTGTTGGGGACAGTGATTATACCACATTGCTGGTTACACTGAAATTATCATTAACTAGACTTGGCTTTATTATTGCTCTGTAGAGTCATCCTGTCCTTGTACAGTTATGTTTTTAAAGATTAAGGAAAAAATGCTATGTTTGTTTTCTTATATTTTACTATGTTAAATTTATTACAATTTCAGCCAAATTGGCAGATAACCTGTATCTTCCAAATTTGTTGTCTTTCAGAAATGAGGCCATCCTTCAGTAAACTATGAAGAGCTGACAAAGATGTGAAAAGGACAAAAGGAAACCTACTCTGCATGTACTGATAGAGATGATGTGCTAGTAGGGACACTCCCAACGTGTCAATGACTCTAGGGGAAGAAACATCGCAGTGGATTGAAAGAAATGAGAATAACAGGAGTTGTGGTCCATCAATGGCCATATAAGACACAGAATGTTTGTGGAACATTTTGCAATATGCACAATTTTTCCTGCTACCTTGTCAAATGGCAAAACAGAATTTACATACATGGGACATGAAAATGATAAACATACACTCACCTAGCCGTATGGAAAACTCATAAAATCTCTTAAGCCTCACAACCAGAGGACATACTGCATTCCAAGCTTTCTCTTGAAGCTGAATGTCATTGGGATTTTGAATAGCCTAAAAAAAAAAAATAATGGTAGAATATCTACTTTAAAAGCAGTAATAAGAATCAATTGCAGATTCTGTAATTATTGTACTTTATACCCTTGCCAATCTGTAATGTTACCTACATTACTTAGGGTAAATGGTGACCCCTACATAGTAAGGAAGCATGATTAATAGGCTGTTGCTTCTTGAGCAATGCAGTCTTGTCTGAGTCTCAGCAGCTTGAGAATTACGATGATCCTGGTATTTTTAGATGGATGGTGGCAGTGGCAGTAGTGTATTTGCATGTGTATGTGTGTGCATACATGTATTCATGCATGTATGTATGCATAGATATGTGTGATGGATGTGTTGATATTTACACAAAATCCTTTCCCCAATACTAATATGGTGGGGTGTACCTACGTCCAGTTACTCCAGAAGCTGAGGCAGAGGGTCACTTGAGCCTAGGACTTCAAGACCAGCCTGGGCAACAGAGCAAAACAAACAAACAAAACAAAACAAACAAAACTACCCTACAAAAAATTCTAATGCTTTCAAGTAAAAGGAGTGTGATGGTTTTTGACTTAAAGGCATTGTGAAGGTTAAAAAGTCAACTGATGATTTTTTTTTTGCTTTGGCTATTGTTTTGTTTGTTATTTTTTAAACCTCATAAGACATTGAGGATGATAGATTTGTTGTCTACCTAAAGCAAGGTGGTTTCCACTGTTGTGTGTGTGTGTGTGTCAAAATCATCACAAGACGTTGGAAAGTTCATGTCATCCCAGATCTTCTGCTGACTTCTAGATCAACTGTCGTTCATAAGCTTTATAGATGTATTTCCCTTCAGTGCAGTAACTACTGACATAGTTGTTTGAATGTGGAGTTCTGCAATAATAAATGCAGGCTCAAGAAGAGAATGGCTAACATTTCACTTATCTATAATTCTGTGTGCTCATATTAACATATCAGAACAAAAGGGGTCATCCAAACCTTTTTTTTAGGATATATTGTGTTCCTTTTCTTCCAAGTACTCTAGGAAATAGTAGGGCTATTACTTAATCCTTATATGTGTGCACATGTGTGTGTGTACATGTGTGGTTTCCCTTCCCTCCCCAGGGTGTTGTCAATCCAGTACTATTATCATTAGCATACATCTCGAATCTCAGGCCCTGCGCCTTTGTAAGCCTGTAGGTCTGCAAGGATGCTCTCAGAATCCTGGAGGACAGCACTGATCTGGTTCCATATTTCTCTCTCTCCTTCTGTGGGCTGGGCATCTAGGTGGCAGAGAAACAAGAAACACAGAGGGCGGATGTTCATAAATAGCTCCGAAAGGATTAACAGTTCTCATTCTTGAAGCTTGGTTGTTACTCTTTAACCTAACAAGCTCCTAAGAAAGAAAACTCACACAACTTCTACCTATAGCTCAGTTCAAAATATGCACTGGTCTTTCCATTGGAGTCACTCTGAGGACTCATTTATTAATTTATTTACATAGAATAGATTTCTTGCACACCTGCTGTGTGCACTGGGTGCCAGAAGAAGGAAACATTGTCCTTTGGAGACAACTGTTCTAAAAAATTTCATTATTATTATTATTTTTCATAAAAAACTATCATTTTATTATGGTAAAATAACATTTACCATCGTAACTGTTTTTAAGTGTCAAGTTCAGGGATATTCATGATACAGCTCCATACTCCATTCTTCTGTAAAACTGAAACACAGTATATAGTCTGCTTTTAATAGAAGGTATTGGATATTTTTGCTGCAAACGAAAATCTGTGGATCTGAGTATAGATGGAACAAAAACATCCTCCTTCATATTTCCATATAAAATAAGCTTTAAAGATTGGATAATTAACTCTTCAGGGCCATGACAGTGGCCCATCATTCTGAAACATACAGACATGTACTAAGCACTGAGACTTCCTATGGAACATGAATGTGTGCTCAAGAGTTTTGCCAAAGATGTGCAGGGAGTTCATTTTAAAGCTACCCATTCTGTTTATCTTTGGTCTTGACCTTGACTGTTACTCATAAAAATAAGTGATGCATTCAAGCTCACACAAATGAAGACAGCATTCTAATACCCACAAAACCTTCCCTGAGCTCTTCAGTGAATTCTCATTTGATTTCACTCTGGAGTTCATACAGGTTCTTGTTCCCAGAGGCATTTTATGGGAGCTAGTGGGTAGAGGTTGAGAGGTGGGAAACATTAGGTAGTATTTCATCCAAAATAGGTTAGTTGCCTGAGCTGGTGAGGAAGTTATACTATTCATATAAAATAAAGGCTTCTCAGGTAGACAGGGGGCAGATATCATGTCATAGAACTCCATTTCCATCCAGTGTCCTGAGACACTGGATGCCACCAGCAGACCTCTCTAAATGAAGGATGAGGCAGAGCTGTACCTGCTCTAACACTCCCCAGATCCAATCCCCATTTTCACTAATCTTTGTGGGAGTACAAAGAGCTGGTCTTGCAAGGGGGTATGTGCTACTAGTTACTAGTGTTACTCTGGGGTACAAAAGATGGAATCCACAAGGCAGGTAACAGCAAAGCAAGCACTTGGTCCTCATGATGGGGTGTTCAAATAGACTGAGCATCAGAGGAGGGCCAACGGCCAGGGTGGCTCTTCCTGCTCTATTGCCACATCAAAACCACAGGCTCTAAGCCAGACCCTTGAGAAATGATGCCCACCGATTTTTTGATTACTTTACTCACTAGGTCCTGCCCAAGACCTAAGAATTTGGTAGCGTTTCCCGGGAATGAAGGAAATTAAGTCCTCAGACATTAATCAATATATGGTAATTTTCTAAAAAACAAAAGAAAGAAAATCATAGACTCTCATAGGGTGTCCAGACACTGGGAATAGGATAATTTCAACCAGGGAACAAGGAAGTACTGAAGTTTGTGTATATCAGGGTTCAGAAAAGGAAAAGATGAGTGTGATTGGGGAGGGATGAGGAAATAAAATGGAAGGGATCGGACTGGAGCAGAGGCTAAGAATGTACCGCGTGGACAAGGGCCTGTTGATTGGATTAAACAAGGTAGACCTGGAAGAGGAAAGAGAACTGTCAGGTTAGAAAATAGAGGTTAGCCTGGCAAACCAAAGTGGAACAAGAAGCGTATTGCCCCTTTCACTCTGTACCTATCATTTGCTTCCCCAAAGCACTGAATGTTTTCTCAGATATAGCATTACTCATGAAAGGAACACTTCAGATTTTATCCTTTTTTGCTTTTCCAACTTTTCTCAAAGCAACATGCATGTCCTTCACAGAAACTTAGAAACCCACAGGTTAGGAAGCCTACAACTGTAGAAAGCACTTCAATGGAGTAGAATTCCAGAGACATGCTGGAATTTTTAGTGGGAATAGTGTTCGAGAAGAAAACACAAGGAAAAAGTGCAAAGAGCCTAGAAAACAAATAGAAATCAAGCACTCCTTAATTCAAACTCCTTTCCCCTTTGATGATGAATCAAAAAATCACAAGCTTAACAGAGACAATTTCCTCAAGAGAAATTTATTTGGAGAAGAGGAAAAGCAAATTAGAGTACATAACCAGGATTCTGAGAGTGCAGACTACTGAATATAGTTGTAAAGTAGTCTGTGCAAGAAGGCACCACTGAAAGACAGGAAAGGTAGTTGTCGAATCTCAGCTGTCACATGGCCACAGGTTAGCAAGTCATCACTCGAAAAATTTCAGCTGAAACAAAATTAAAACTAAGTGGGCTAGAAGAGGAGAGCGGCAAAACCAAAAAACATCTTGTCGATGATTACTTAAATACAAAAGGAGAAAGATTTCACATCAGTCTTTTTAAAATAGAGAACTTTCTTAAGTGCTTTAAAAAGAAACTTTCCAGTATGGTGGTCTCAAAGTAGAGTCGGGCTTGGAGGGCAGAGATATTTATGTGACCACAAAGAGTTGGATGAGTGATTTGGGAGTATGGTATCACTTCCGCCCCAGAGGAGGTAGATTTGGGTAGCTGTGGTGAGCACCTTCCATCAGACGGCAATGCTCTTCTGACTGCCAGGGTCTGTGAAACACAACCTTCAGCTCCAAGCCTCCTTCTCTGGAAACTGTTTCTTTTGGCAGGTTTCCTGGTGTCCCATTAAAAATTGTTTTGTGTGGTCCTACTTAGCAGTGGTGGGGTGGGAGAAACTTAATCCACCATTCTCTCTTTCATCTGGAAATTAGTTAGTCTTATGGGATACCTGATTTCTTTTACCTTCCCTGTCATGGAACTGAAGTCACATCCTCTTTCAGAGGATAATTATTCTCTTCAGGCTGGCAGCACAGTCAGTCCTGCCTTCTGAGCCAAAACACAGAGGATTCTCAGGGGACTCAAGACACAAGTGGCGCCACCTTCCCAGGTAGAGAGTGACAGCTGGGAGAAACCCGAGGGTCTGTCCTCCTCACTTTTCAAATGGGAAGGGACTATGTAAACCTAGGTAACATTGAACATTGGCCTAAATTCTTATGGAAATCCAGGATTTATCGCACTTTATTCCCCCCAGCCAAGTGATGGGATAGTTGGAACTAATTAATAAGAATTTTATCCACTATGTATCCACTACATATTCTGGCCATATATGCTTCACTTACCATCAGATTTCCAGTGCCTGGTACAAACTGTATGCACAAGAAAATATTGCTAAATGGCTGAAAAATGATTTAAAGAAGTCTGTGATTTAAAGAAGTCTGTGTAAACAGATATCTATGTTTTGTGATTTCTTTTTGCTGTCTTTGAATTCCCAAATCTTTGGAGACAGGGACTGCATTCTTGTCCTCAGTACCTACATGATGTGCCACCCATTGGAGGCACTCAATAAACAAGTAATGAACCAGTTACTCAATAAGGAAATTGGCCATGGTAGATGCTGGGAAGCAGTGAAATAAAGGCATGGTCACTTCAAGATCTTGTCCTTTCTCTTCTCCCCAAATGGATTTCATCTTGTTACATCTCACTGCGACTGTAAGATATATGCATTTATTTACAATGACATTAGCTATTCACACCTCCATTAACATTCGTGCTTTTATCCCCTGTCATTCACCCATGACCTCCATGTCTCTTCGGTGTGGTTGACACACTAGTTGGGCATTTGTTCTGTCTGATAGAAAAACTGCCTTAGATTTATTCTTCCAATCTGAAAATGGTTACCATTTTGCTCTCTGGAACATTCCTGTGAGAAGCTTTGTAGTCTACACTTTTGGTATTCTCCATATTGAGAGTCAATTGTTGACCATGTTTTTAAAATTTATTGTGTTTTCAGATGTCAAGGAATGACATCTTGAAAGGGACCCTGAAGAATTAGTGGTTGAAAAGGTTACTGTATTAACCTACCAACAACCCCTGAGAGCATTTGCTGAGTGAACAGGACTCTGAAAATATGGGCTTTGCTTTTTTATTTTTAACACAAAGATTGACCTTTCATCAAAAAAGGGACCCCTCCCCCAATACTCTTTTGATGGAAATGGGTTCTTATTTCCAATTTCAGCCATGGTTTCTTTGGCGATGTTTCCTCTAAGAACCATGCTCTAAACTTCTAATCATTGCCACTTATTTCATTGAAATTGAGGAGAATGGTTACATAAAGTGAAGTTCCTCCGATCTTACAAAGGAGCTGTTAAAATCCCTGTGATTTACACAGGCAATTTCAGAAACCAATACTTCTAGGAGCCCTGGAAAAAGTGTGCCCTGGCCATTATCTGGGCAATGATTTAAGGCCTGTTTTGGACTTGCTATTGTGGAAAGTATGAAAATGTATCATGTGCACTGTGACCTTGCCTACACACATTTATTGTTAAGAACTCACTAAATTCCAAGTGTTTACAATTTTTAATTTAAAAAATCCTATCAATTAAGATAAACAGTATTAATTATTGACCCACCTTTGATGCAATAAGTTGGCACTGGAGAATATTAACTGTCAACATTTTGGTGTCCCTGGAGGCAAGGTGGAAGGCTTCACTGCCAAGAGCTCTGCTATTTATTCAAAGTCAAATGCTTGGCATTCCACTGTGCTAATGGAGAGGAAGGTGGTTGCACTTTGTTTGTCAGGAAAATGTTTGGCAAACCTACCACAGAGAACAACAGCAGGCCTCAAACTGGAGAAAGGCTGTCAAATCAAAGAATTCTTATCTTTGCAAATCAGCCAAGGACTCATCCTGTCTTCAAAGGCACCAGGACTATGCATACCTTTTCCTAACAGCCTATTTGGGACTGAGAGGAGAATCTGACAGAGAAGCAAATTAACCTAAAATAATCTGAGA